TTTTTTGCAAAAAAGAGGGTGAAAATCTGGGTGTGTTTTATACACTGAATACAGCATTTTTGGCCTCCCGAAACCCCATCCCTTCACCAAAATGGCCGTGCATAGCCTTTAGGAGGCTTCCAGAGTGCTCCTGGGGGCTGGGGAGGGCAGAAATGAGCGAAAAATGGACCATCTTTTGCTCAATTTTGCCCCCCCCCCTCCAACCCCCAGGAGCACTCTATAAGCCTCCTAAAGGCTATGCATGCCCTTTTTTTTGACAAAAAACGGGCCTGTTTTCGCAAAAAACGGGCCATTTTTGGGAGGTCTGCAGAGTGCAAAACCCTTTTTTTTTTATTTGCCCTCTTCAAAATCTTGGTGCATCTTATACTCTGGTGCGTCTTATACTCCGAAAAATATGGTAGTTAGATGGGGTTTTATAGGCAAAATAATAGTTTTCCTGTGGGAACCAAGGCCATTCGCACAGGTGGTTGGCCAGAGGAGGAGCAAGTAACTAAGCGACGAGTCAGCACTTGGATTGGACAGTGTGGCCAGTGACTTGGGGGAAACTTTTATTTTTAATCAGGTGAAAGCTGTGGGAAATTTCAGAGTCGGCTTTCACCAGTTGTGTCAATATGATGAATCAATACTGTTCTTTGAGGAACTTGCCTGTGTCGGGATTCTGTTTTCCATGAGTGCATTCCTTGGAAAACACTGACACTTTTGAAGTTATGACACTGGAAAAAGTGACTTATGACCAGCATTCCTATGGGATTAAAAATTCAGGCACTTGGCAACTGACTCATATTTATTATGATTGCAGCATCCCAAGGTCATGTGATCCCTTTCTGCAACCTTCTGATAACCTAAGTTAATGGGGAAGCCAGATTCACTTAACAACCATGTTACTAACTTAACAACTGCAGGGATTCACTTAACAAACATGTCAAGAAAAGTCATAAAATGGGGGCAAAACTCACGTAACAAATGCCTCCCTTGGCAACATAAATTTTGGACTCGGTTATGTTGTAAATCGAAGATTACCTGTACACAAACATTTAACTTAACTCATTCGTTGTTATTAAGCAGCCATTTCTAATCTGGCATCACTGAAGATACAGATAGGAACAACTGCAGATGTTGTTGAATATATTTAGAAAGTCGACTGTTTCTAAGAATCGGTGGAAAGCATTAACTTGCAAAGATAAGCCAGCATTCAAAACTATTTGTGTACCATTTTCATATTTGTGGCCAATATGACCAAAACACAATTAATGAGACGTGCTATAAAATCAATCATCATCAACCAGAAAGAAAACCTCCAGACCTTTTTGTATTAAAATAAAGCCTTAACATGCAAATTCCTTCTTACCCCTTTCATTCTTTGATACGCCCGTACTTGGAGCAGCTACCAAAGATACACGTGTAGTTTCCACAGCATTCGCTGGAGAGACCTGAATGGCCTGGGAACACACAAGTCAAGTTTCTATTCTGACATCTTAGTTTTAATAGATGATGAATGGTCATCTTTGGTGTTTGGGGATAAAGCCATTCAAAGTAATGCAGAAAAATTCTTGGGAGTGGGGACATAGAAAGGCTGCTATGCTACCAATCCATCCAATTGTTGTTTGGCTTCTTAGATCAGTGTTTTTCAACCACTGTGCCGCGGCACACTAGTGTGCCGTGACATAGTGTAAGGTGTGCCGTGGGAAAAACACTTTATATAT